GGTATTAGTGTGAAAAACTTCATAAGATCAGCCATTTACAAAAGTAACCCCTCTGCAATGGAGGCAGGTAAAGCTTTATTTCAGAACGAAATATAACCTTTGCTGCCTTGCCTGCTCACAGCTTTGTGCTGCAGAGATCACACCAATGGCAACAACAAAATTACTCCAGTGTTATGGTGTCAGGTGGGATCTGCACCCTTAGTCCTCACACTCCTGAAGGTCCAATACTCCACCAAGACACTGGATTACTGCCAGAGCCACCACACCACAGCAGTGTATTTCAGAGGGTAAGATGGAGGTGACTGCTGTTCACTGAAGGTCCAGCAAAATTCCATGCCTTCCTGCTTTTCCAAGCCATGTCTTCCTGCCCAGGGAGCTCACACACCCCTTTACGCACTCACTACCAGTTCCACAATGCCCCTGTTCCAAAAACGCCAACTTTTAGTGACCAGAAACAGGCATAAGCTGAACTCCAGTTGGATTTGGAGGCAAAGTGGCTCAAAAGAAGAGCCAAGACACTGTTTGCATCTCCTGCCAGGCTGTAACAGGAGTATCGAAGCTGGACATGGGAGACAAGTAAAATGCACCGTGATCCATCTGTGCCTCCTCTCACCTCCCATGGCAGAAAACATCCCCTCTTCCTCACAGGCACAGGCCCAACCTGCCATCCAGGCTGGAGGTGACAAGTGTTTGACTTTCTGCACCTCCACCTGCGCTCACAGAGAAAGCTCCAAGACAGCTTCAGAACTCAGGAAAGGCTTCATGTCCAGCACCCCAAAGCCAGGCAGTCCTGCCACGATGACAGAGGGACTCTGAGCAGCAAACCACAGGAATTCAGGGCACTCTGATGAGCGAGGCTGCAGGAAGTCTGCGGGAGCCAAGGACAGAGTGCTCGTGACACAGAGCTCTGTTTGTGGCCTGGGCTGTCACGTGCCAGCGGAAACTCAGGCTTGTAAGACCTTCAGGAAACAGCAAAAATCTGTCTTTGAAAGAGCCTTTACCAAAGATAAACACCCCCTCCACTAATCACAGAATCCCAGAAGGGTTTGGGTTGGAAGGGACCTCAAAGCTCTTATTCCATCCTCTGCCATGGGCAGGGACACCTTCCACTAGCCCAGGGTGCCCCAAGCCCCGTCCAGCCTGGCCTTGGACACTTCCAGGGATCCAGGGGCAGCCACAGCTGCTCTGGGCAATCTCTGCCAGGGCCTCCCCACCCTCACAGCCAAGAATTTCTTCCTCATATCTAATAAATCTTCTCCGTACACCATTACAAGCCCAAAAGTTTTTCCATAAGGATTTTCTTACACAAAACAGTTGCCCTTAGACACAGGTCCTGCTCTGAGGGGAACACCCTGCAAAGCCCACCAGAAACACTGTTCTTGCCGCCTCCCACATGGATGATGCTTCAGGTATCACCACCACTTTCAGCACAGATGTTTTTCTTAAATCCCACTTTCTCTCCACAACTGAAGGAAAAGAAGGGAAGCCAACAGTCAAGCCTGTACTCCAAAGACCAGGATATTTTCAGCTGTCCAACTGAAACTCAAATACAAGCGACGGGCAAGTACAGAGGTCAGAGGCACCAGCCCCCTGCCACTGTACCCATGCAGCAGCCAGGGCCCTTGCTCAGGGGGTTCCAAATTTGCCTCAGCCAGCTTTTAATAAGTCAGGACAATTGTAGATTTGTTACTTATGCCTTCCTAGATGACGTTTTCATTCAATACACATCCCACTGCAGCGCAGGGTTTATCCGAGCAGACACGACAACCATGCACTCAGCAGGGGATTTCTCAGAAAATCACCACCATTAAACTCCTTTTTATTGCCTGCAGGTGGTGATTATTTCACCTTTTTGCCACGCTGCTCCATAAATAAGAGGGCCACACCTGTTCCCAGGGAATCCAAAACAAAGCACAAACTCTCCAGCCATGCAGGAAACCTTGCGCTGGGGAACAAAACACAACATGTGGGGTCACCTGGGTGGCACTTCTTGCCTGGGGGAAGGGGGGCAAAAGGCTCCCTAATTAACAGCAAGTCCTGTAAGAGGTTTATCTGTTACAGCAGGAAAAACAAACAAGGTTTTAGAGACACAGTTCTTGGCGAGGGCAGGTGGTGGAGCTGCACCTGCACCCCCTGGGCTGTGCTGGCTGTCACCTGGCTTGGGGACGGTGCTGAGGGTTGGGGTGAAGGGTAGGTTTGTGCTGAGCACCACCTCCTGCCCGTTCCTCTTGTGCTATTGCTGGCCCCCCAAGCAGAGCCTGGGCCGTCCTCTGCCCCTTCCCTGCAGCCCCTGACACACACTGGGGAGGGTCCCTCTCAGGGGGTGCTCTGGAGGCTCAACAGCCCCAGCTCCCTCAGCCATCGCTGCTCCCAGAGATGCTCCAGCCCTTGGGCATCTCTGTAGGAGAATCATCTTCCAGGAGCTCCCTGCCCTGCTTCAATGCTCTTTCAATGCACCTCCAGCCCCCACTGGGGGTGGGAGGAACTTGGTGGACAGTGAGCTGTCCGTGACCAGCAACGTGCCCCCTGGGGGCACGTTGCTGGTCACGGACAGCTCACTGTCCACCAGGACCCCCAGGTCCTTCCCCACAGCATCTCAGAGAACCTGCAAGGCTTCCTCTTTGTGTTTGGCAGTTTCTGTGCTCTGCCTGAGCACATCACTTTTTCTGTGAAGCTACTGACTTGAATAAAGATTCGGTTTCCCTTCAGAAAGCTGCAAAAACCCACGGAATGCAGCTGTCGGATGGACTTCCAATTCCAAGTGCAGCACAGACAGCTGAAGGCACCGGCTCTACATAAAAGCTCTGACGAGGCTTCCAATAAAGGAAAAGTTAGTGCACTAAAAGCTAAGATTAAAAATTCACCAGCAGCCCTGTCTCTGGAGCTTTACTGAAAGGTCAGGCATCCATAACTCTGCCTCATCATAAAACTTAAAACTACTGGAAATGCAACAGGGCCCCCTTGTCAACCCGTGAAAGAAAGTAACTGAATTTAGGAAACACGACAGCCTCAGCCAACAGCCCTGGAAAATTCTGCTTCTATATTAACTATAATAATAAAATACACCAAAATCAGCCCTTAACACAAAAACATACAGTCATAGAACTCCAGGTTGGTTTGGGTTGGAAGGCACCTTAAAGCCCATCCAGTCCTACCCCCTGCCACGGGCAGGGACACCTTCCACTAGCCCAGGTTCCTCCTTTGATCCAACCTGGCCTTGGACACTCCCAGGGATCCAGGGGCAGCCACAGCTTCTCTGGGCAATCTGTGCCAGGGCCTCCCTACCCTCACAGCCAAGAACTCCTTCCCAATATTCCATCCAATCCTGCCCTCTGGCAGTGGAAGAACACTCCCCCTTGTCCTGTCCTGCCAGGCCCTTGTCTGAAGTCCCTCTCCAGCTCTCTTGTTTGCTCCTTTAGGTCCTGGAAGGCCACAACGAGGTGTCCACAGTGGAGATGCTCTCTGAAGAACCTTCAGCACAAAATACCAGGGCGGCATCATTAAACACACTCAGGAAGCATCAGCACTCACAGAGACAACAGGCACAACAGCCTCGAGAGAGCCACAAACCGAGGGAAAACAATCCCCCACATCACGAATCCAACAACACCTTCACAAGGTGACTGGGGTGACCTGACAGCCCTCCCTGCCACAAAAACACCCTCTCACCACCAGGAAGACACTCGGCTCAGGTTTTTAAGGGCTCAGTTGCTGATGATGAGTACATATCCCACGTGCAAAACGTCAGCAACACGTTAAAAACACCCCAATAAAAAGACACGGTGGTAAAATGAGCTCCCTGAGACCCCTGAGCCACTAGCGGGGCAGGGGCACGTCCACTGGTGCTGCACCTAAACAAGGGACCGCCAGGCAAAGTTTCTGCCGCAGCCTAGCAGGTTTTTAAGAACCAAGCCCACACCACAAAAAAATCACCTCTGCCATCTGCATTATCGGTCTGACCGAGAAGCAAGAAGGAGCTGGTGAAGACACACCGAGCCAGGCTCGGGCTCTCCGTGCCTTTCGGGGCACACGGAGCGAAGGAGGGGGCGACACCGCGACCTTCCAGCCGCGGGGGCAGGTGCGGGACGTGCCCGTTACCAAACACGGCCGAGGCACCAGAGCGTTGGGGGCCCGCCGGCCCCGGGCCCGTCCTGCCGCGGCCAACAGGGCACCGTGACGGAGCGGAAACACCGACTGCATCTCGGTACTTGTCACGAACACCAGGGGAAGAGAGGCGGTGACCGCGATGGGAGGGAGAGAGGGAGGCGGGAGAGAACGAGGAAAGGCACCCAGAGAGACTGGAAGAGTATGACGAAACGAGAGATGGAGGAAAAGAAAGCAGGAAGGAAGCCTCAGCCGGGCTCGGAGCCGGCGATGCCCTAGCCCGGCCCCGCCCGGCCCGGCCCCTCCGCCCCGCCCGGCCCAGCCCCGCCGGGGCCCACAGGCCCGCGCCCGCAGGGGAAGGCGCAGGGCCCGGCCGGCCGCAGCCCCCTTGCCCCGCGGAGCCCGCCACCGTGCCCCCGGCGCGGTGCGGGCCGTACCTGCCCGGTCTCGGTGCCGCCGCCGCCTCCGGCCCGGCCCCGCTCCGCCTCCTCCGTCAGCGCCCGCCGCTCCGCAACATGGCGGCCGCTCCCGCCCCCGCGCGGGGCACGACGGGAGCGCGCCCCGCCCGCCGGCCGCGCGCGCTGCCATGGCAACGGCGGGACGGTGACGTCACGGGCGCGGCGATGACGTCACGGTCGGGGGCCCGAGGGGGGGGCTCCCTGGGTCTCTGGG